TCTCTCTCTCTCTCTCTCTCTCTCTCTCTCTCTCTCTCTCTCTCTCTCTCTCTCTCTCTCTGCGTGCGTGCGTGCGCTTAATATGAGTAGTATTTAATCTGTACATAGTGGCATTATACATATTATTATTCTAATGATAATTTCCAAATTTGCCTTTGTACCTTAATGCAATTTACACAAGAGAAATATGTATAAAATTATAAATATATTTAAGTATTGTAATCTTCTAAACTTTCCAATAATCCAGATTCAATGTGTAAAAATCTAAAAAATTTTCATACAATTTTTTTTTATTTACTTATTCCTTATTTTTTAAGTGTGTAATGACATGTAATCCAGAGGTATATCTATTAATGCATTTATTTTATTATGATATTTCTACTTTGAAAATATAGAAACAAATACTATTTATTTTAAACAAATGCATAAAATTACTTTTTAAATGTATTTACATCAATATCATTTTATGCGTATGAAATTTGTAAATAGAAATTATTATACTTTAATACTTAAACAATTTATAATTGTAATTTTATCTAAGTACTGACAATTTTCAATATTTAAAACATTTAACAAGGTTGAAAAAATGATAATTAAGAAATGACCTTATTAATACTAATAAGACTGCTATTTAAGCACAATTCTATTTATGCTTTATTAAATTTATTAAATATTGCAAATGATTAATATTATTCATTGTTACGAAAAATATGCATAATTGTGATAATCTTATGTAATCTACTCCTTGGAGAGTACAAAACTCATTATCGGCATTTACTATAAACTATGTCTTTCATGAAATACATTTTACTTAAAAGTATATTCGCTATTTCGATATATATAAAGCAGTCTTCGTTTCAAAGAACATAAACTTAGTACTATGTACTCATTATTTAAAGAATACTTTTATAAAATCATAAAAGCAACATTCTTGCATTAATAGTTTCACTCTTTATTAAATTGTTTTTCTGAATTAGTTTGCAATTATTTAAAAAATGAATTTGTGATTTTAAATTTATTTTTACACAAATGATAAACATATTTAATAAATGTTTTGTAAAAGACCAAGACCTAAGCTTAGTAAAAAATTGAGCATTAGTATGCAGGGTGTTTCTTTTATCTCGCAAAATTGGAATATTTCGTGAGAGACAACCTATCAAAGAAATGTTTCAACAAAAGTTGTTAGATATGAAGGAAGACACCATATGGTGCAAATTATTTTTTTTACAGGTCGAGTGGTGGGGGGAAATTTCGAAGTCAAGTTCATTTTTTTTCCATAGTACGATGACGTTTGTTGAAATGAATTCAACGACTGTCATATAAAGTAATTTATTGTTATAAAATGTTATAAATTGTTATAAATTCGTAAGTTCCTAAATAGTCAAATAAGCCTGAATTATAATTACCAAATGAATCAATATAAATGATGAAAACTTTTCTTTAATTGAACATTGGTAAGTACAAATAAACTTCGTTTATTTGTGTCAGTAATTAGAGAAGCATAAGGTAAGATAAGAAGTTCGATTTTTGTTTACTGCGTGCAGTCTAATAGCTGTCAACCAACGATTCTGGTTTACTTAACACCTTAGGAACTCATGAATTTATATTATTTTATAACAATAAATTACCTCATATGGCAAGTAGTTGAATTCGTCTCAACAAATGCCACCATACTATGAAAAAAAAAAATATGGTTACATTAAAAAAATGAACTTGACTATGAAATTTCCCCCCACCACTCGACCTGCAAAAGAATAATTTGCACTATATGGTGTCTCCCTTCATACTAAACAACTTTTGTTGAAACATTTTTTTAATAGGTTCAATTTCTCATGAGATATTCTAATTTTGCAAGATAAAGGAAATACCCTGCACACAAAATTTTGAGAAGATTAATTGTTAAAGTAAAACATTAATAAATAATGTTACATTTTTAACAAATCATATAATATTAATCTATTGATATTATATAGTCTAATAATTTTGTACCTCGAATGAAATGTTAATAGTAAACCGTACTAAATAAAATATTCTATACAGTTAAAAAATGTAAATTCATGTAGTTTGCAATGCATTATAAATATGCGAAATATACTTTATTTGTACAGTACGAAATATGATATTATTTTATATTGTTGTACATAGGGTTATAACTAAATTTCTGCTTAACTATTTAGATATAAGATTAAAAGTGAAATTTACAAATTATTATTAAATTATTTAAATATTCTACTGCAATTAAATTGAACAATAAATAATCATATACATATCCTTGTGATGCCTCAAAATACAAGTGATAACATTTTATAAACTAGGAAAAATGAGTAATACTATGATGCAGATTATTAAAAGTCTTAAATAATTTTAAGAAAGAATATGAAATTGTTACTTTTTAGTATTTAAAGAAGTGTCTAAATTATGCAAATTAATAATCCTGAAATTAATGATGTACC